GAACACCTTAGACAACACATGGTGGGTTCGTTGTTAGAACGACAGGCACTTCTTGAACTGGTCGTTAGTGTAGGTTTAGTTAGAGTAGAGACCTAATTGAGGTATTATCAAGTTGTCGTTCATGTCGAGGTGTGTCGGAGCTCTGCAACCTTACCACACTCGTCGCGGCTCCCGGTTAAACCTGAAGGGGTACTACTTAGGTTCTACTATAGCAGGAAGTCACAGTCATCGAGAGTTCAATCCGTTGTCAAGGATATTTCGAATGACTCCTTCGTAGCCTCTTCTACCGTTTCAAGAGAAGAGACTCAACTATCTGTTGTTCTGGACCTTACATCGTGGGAGACATGACAAATCCAGAAGTTCTCGGAAGTCTCTCAGGAAAGGTACACAAAGGTAAGTCAAGAAAAAGTCCCTACTTCACCTCTTTAAGGTGAGGTGAGACAAGCTACTTTCGGCGGGACTGATTACGAAAAGGAACGTAAGCAATACCTACGATGTTTGGGTTCTCCGAGTATGTCTTGACAAACTGACACCTGTTCTCCCATGGAGAGGCACACTTACCAAAAAGAAGCAACCTGGTGGTCCTTGCACTTCGACAGACAAAGGTCCAAGGTCCTCTCAGGAGTCCGGGCAACCTTCTCCCTCTCCCAGTTGAGTTCTAGGTTATAGGAAGTCTNAGATGGTTCTGACAAGAACCAGAAAGATGTTGGCAGAGTCCAACTTGAGACTTCACAAGGTAGCATCAAATAGTGGACATGCAGGGAAGGCTTCCATCACATGTCCACTATTTGATGCTACCTTGTGAAGTCTCAAGTTGGACTCTGCCAACATCTTTCTGGTTCTTGTCAGAACCATCTATGGCTCCTTCAGGATGTGGTGAACAAGGTGAGGCCATCGTCAACATAGAACTGCCTCTCCACAAACTGCTTTGCGTCAGATCCGTGTTCTCGCTCACCTTCTTGCGCAGCTCGCCTCATGCAGTAGATGGCTACCGCGGGTGAAGGACTGTTTCCAAAAATGTGGACCTTCATCCTGTACTCTACTACATTCTTGTTGATGTCATTATCCTCGTACCAGAGGTATCGAATATAATCTCTTCTTGAACGACGTAACAGTAGAACATTTGTTCCACATCTACTGTCAAGGCTACAGGTTGTTTTCGAAACCGCAGAAGGACTCCCAACAAGGTGTTGTTCAAGTCTGGGCCAGTGAGGAGCACACTGTTCAGCGACACTCCGTTACACTCAGCACTTGAATCAAACACAACTCTTATCTTATCCGGTTTTTGTGGGCGATACACACCGAATGTCGGGAGGTACCAATGTTCTTTACCAGGTGGAGCAGGCTCAGCTTGTTCATTTTCCAACATCTTCCGCATGAACTCAACGTAGTGACTTTGCATTTTTGGCTTTTTCTCAAGAGTTCTCCGAAGTGAGCAGAGACGCTTCATAGCTTGCTCTCTGTTACTAGGAAGAGGCTGTCTGGGAGAGCGGAATGGCAATGGTGCCACCGAGCTGTTTCTGTCATCTTGGTAAACCTGTTCATCCATGATGCTCAGGAAGGCCTTGTCATCCATGGATAGTGCTGGCTTGTCATCATCCTTGGACCTTTCAAAGACTGAACACCCTAGGCTATCTGTACCAACAGTGAGTCCTGTGTCTTTCCCACAGACAGAAGAGATTGGCCTATGATGTTGTGTCATGCCACTGTATTCTTCCTTCACCAGAATACTGTTTGCACATGGACTAAGAAAGGATGTGCGACCGTTGTTCAACACGTTTGTTTTGTAGACGTTGACAGCCGCTGGTTTGTGGACTGTTCCCACACAGGCTTCCCCGACTATGTAAAAAAAGGGGAAAAAATTTTTTTTTTTTCCCACCCCCTATTTTCCCAAATTTAAAAACCCTTCCCTTTTTTGGTTTCCGAAACCCTTCCACGCGTTTTTCTTTTAAAAGCCCTTTTTTTTTAAATAGGGCAGGTTTGCAAAAATTTTTTGTTTTTTTTTTTTAAAAAGAAACGGGTTTGAAAGGAAAATTTTTGTTTTTTCTCCCGGGAGAGGTTTTTGGGGTTTGGGGTTTGGGTTGGGTTTTCTAACGCCGTGTAAAAACCTTTGGTTTTTACTTTTTTCCCCGTTTTTTTTTTTTTGGTTTTCCCTTAATTCAAACAACGTTGGTTTCTACCCCTTTTCCCAGAAAACCCTTTTGTTTTCCGGTTCCCATTTTTTCCGGTTTTTAAAAAAGTCAAAATTAAAAAAATTTTTCCGGCCCCGGGCCGAAGTTCCTTAACTTTTTTAAAAGACCCCCAAAAGCACGCGAAATTGGGGTTTTAATCATGCCGAAAAAAAAAAAAAAAGGGTGGTTCCCTTAGTTAAAAAAACTTAAACAAGTTTTAAAAACCAGGTTTTGGTGAAAAGTTTTCTTTATTTTTAAGGTACAAAACGATAAGCCTTAAACAAATTTTCTTTCGTTTAAAAAGGTTTTACCCTTTTAAATTTTGTATGTTTTGTTTTTTTTTTTCCAAACAAATAAGAAGCCTTTTCGGGCCAAAAGAGTTTTTTTTTTTTGAAATTGGGATTTTTTTGGAGGGTGTTTAAAAAAAATTTTTGGAAAAAATTTTTTGTTTTTGTTAAAATTTTTTGGTTTTGGTTCTTGTTAATTAATTTTTTTTTTTTTATTTGGTTTTTTCCCCCCCCCCTTTTTTTTTTGGGTTTTTTTGTAGGTTTTTTGAAATTTCATTCTTTTTTGGTTTTTTTTTTTCCCTGCTTTTTTTTTCGCCCAAGTTGAAATTTATAACACGGTTTTTTTTTGTAAAAAAAAACCCGTTTTAAAAATTTTTTCCATTTTTGTTTGAAAAATTTGAAAATATAAAATTTTTTGAACGTTTTTTTTGTTACGTTCGACCTTTAAAACCAAATTTTTACCCTTTTTGGAGGGGCCTTTGTGAAAATTTTTTTTATTTTTTTGGGGTCCCCGATATTTCCCTTTTTGGGTTTTCCACCGGTTTAGTTCCAAAAAAAAAGCCTTTCCCCCCCGAAAACCTAAAAAAACTTTGAAAAAAAAATTTTCTTGTAAATTTTTGGTTTTAGGTTAAAAAATAATAGGGTTTTTTATTTTGAATTGTTTTGCTTTACCCCTTTTTTTTATTTATTCGGAAAAACCCCCTTTCTATTTTTTTAACCTTTTTTTTTTTGCCTTTTTGTTAAAAAAAAAAAAAAAGAAAACCCGCAAAAACCGAAAAAAATTTACCTTGCCCTTTTTTTTCTTTGGTATTTTCAATTGGGCAACCTTTTGCGTAAAAAAATTTTCGGGCCTTTGCAACGTTTTTTTTCGTGTTTTTCGATTTTTTCTTTTTTCTTTTTTTTCTTTTTTCGACCCCTTTTACCTAAAAACAATTATTTTTTTTGCAAACCGGAGGTTTTTTTATTTTTTGCCCCTTTTCCCAATTAAAAAGCCCCCTTTTTTCCCCTTCTCCCATTTTTTTTTTTTGTTTTATTTTCTCCCTTCTTTTTTAAATAAATGGTCGCTTTTTTTTGTTTTCAATTTGTTTTCAACTTTTAAAAAAAAAAAAAAACTTTTCGCCCCCCTTTTTTTTTTTGTCCCCCCCTTGTTTTTTCCAAGTTAAAGTTTTTTTGGTTGGCTTCCAAATGTTTCGCCCAAAATTTCCCCGAGGCGGTTCCCGTTGGTTGTTTTTTTTTTTTCACTATAACGCGTGTTTTTTTTCGGCGAACCAACTACCCTCCTCTCTTTTCACCCCTTGAAAAGTCCCCTTTTTTTTCCTTTCTTCCCGTTAAACGAAAGTTTTTTTTTTTTTCCTACCTTTTTCTTCTCCAAGTTTTTTTTCACGACTTTTTTTTTTTTCGGTTGTTGTGAAACAAAGAAAATTTAGAAAAACAATTAGAAAAAAAAGAATAACAAAAAAAAGAAAAAAAAGGAAAAAAAACGAAAACCGGGGTTGGTGGTCCCTTTTACCGGTTTAAAATCGTTTTTTGTTAAGTTCGGCCCCCTGAAAACTTCTTACTCGATAATTTCCCGGGAATTCCGAAAGTAGAAACGAAAGGACCTCCGGAAAAGGGTAATAAATAAACCTTTTTGGTTTTTTGAGAACCTTTAAAAGGGTTATCCTGGTAAAAAGACAAAAAAGCTAAACAACCCCACAAAACCGTTCCCTTTCGGGATTGTAAAAAAAAAGTTTGGTGAAAAACCATAATTCCAGGGGTCCCCTTTATTCACACAAATGTCAAACCTAGGTTTTTTAAAAAACAAACACCCACCTTCTTTAATTTCAAATGAGATAAAAAAAACAAAAAAAAAGAAATTATAAGAAGGTTGAAAAACCACCCCAACACACTCACTTCGCACTTTCACTTCAACTTACACTCACCTCAACTTTTCACCTCTCTCCTCTTTCTTTTTCTTCTTTCTCCTTTCTCTTCTTTTCTTTTCTCGTGTTAATTTCTAATTTTTACCCCATAAAATTACCTTATTGTCTAAAACGGAAAAAAAGGGCTTCAAAAAAGGAAAAACGGTTAAACTTTTGACACGTAATCCCTGACATAAAAATTTTTGTAAACCCAAGTAAAATAAAACCACCAAAATGAAACCTCTCGGTTTGATTAAAAAGAGTTCCAAAGAAACCCCAAAAAAAATTGAACCCCAAAAACCCCCTTTTTTTTTTCCCAAACTTATCTTTTTTTTGGGTGAAAACGAGAAATGTGAACCTTTTGTTTAATATTTCTAACTTTTTGTGTTTGGTGTTTTACTACCCAAATATAAACATGTTTTAAAAAAACGTTAAGAATAAAACTATACTAAAACAAACAACGAACAAACCACAAAAACACGAGCGAACCGGCTACGGGACTTAATCGATATTCCTTTATGAATCACCACAACGAAAGTTCTGTGAAAGGTGAGACTACTTCCGTTATACGAGGAAGGGTCTAATTTTTCTTACATCTTTTGTAATGTGAAGTCAATATTGACGGTTTTGTTTGTTACGATAAATGTGATAATACTGGGGACCCAGCTATTGCGTCTACCGGGGACGGGTAGGCCGTTCGACTGGCGTCGGTCGTGGGCGTCGGTCGCCCTAGTGCTCGCTCGGCTCGCGTAAGGCGGGCTTCGTGTGTTATTATATCCACGTGCAGTCTCAACGGGGCAATCGGCCGTTTAGATGTTAGAGAGAAGCCAGTTTGTACAGGCCAGTTTTAGTAAAGTGAAAAATCGCGTATGGCAGAAGTCAACGCGGTGAATAAACTGTCTGTTCTTCTGGGATACCACTTTCTGTTCTTATCTAGTATAAGATCACAGATATGTGAAATTACACCCTTTCTCACACAGGACATACCCAAAACTAACACGCACTAGACAACCATTACGGCAGACCGCAATGGGCCCACCCGTACGATTTGTTTAGACGTATTACGACGCGAGAGGATATGAACCCACCACCCGGTAGTGGGCTCAACCGTAATCGCTGCGAATAACAAATCCACTAGACCAATTATTCGTCCAATCAGTATAGTAATCGACTTACTCCTTGCTCTGACCTAGACGTAGCTATACCCTGTATTTGCACTCACTTAGATAGACTGCCCTCTCCTCTTAGTCCGACGAACGACTACTCCAGCCTGTGCGGTCGAGTCGGTATTAGTGTACGTCGCGCCACTCGCCTTTGTTTTGTGTGTGAAGTCCAATCTTATAGTGTGCGATCGATAAAATTTAATTGGAGAGTTTGATGGCATGATCAATATGCTATACAAATCAAAAAATGACAAGCCGCAGTGAGTAATGACCTAGGCGCTCGACGTACTAATGACCGTAACATTCTAACGGGCTAGCCCCGTTGGTCGTCCACTCGAGAGTAACGGCGCTCGATTTATGATCCTACCGGGCCAGGTAGCCCTCAGCAATTACAGCTCCGGAGACTAGGTCCCAGGAGAAGGAGCTGGTGGTCTCTAACCAAAAATGAACTAACTTATTTTCATGCCTCTGAATACTTGGTTTCACTCTCACATACAGAGCAAGTCAGTGAGAGTTTCAACATGTCTCCGTACGACTGGTCGGGTGCAAGTACGAGTTTCTAGACAAACCAGTTCCAGTAATAGGACGTCCTTGTCCCTTTGTCGATAGTTCTACATACGTCACGAACTGACTCCGTTTCTTGTCCCAGAGACCGTTTCTGTCTCAAGATAAACTAGAGAAGTTTCAGCTACCGGTCGAGCAGAGGTATGGTCGCGACTTTTTTGACAAGTCCTTGTTGTCTTCTGAACGTCCATCCTCTCGAATCATTGAGATACTATCTCAGAAACGTACCCCTTAATCGTAAAGGAGAGGGGGTGGAATTAGCTCAACCTTGGACTTGGCCTACTACATCTTCCCTATTTAAGGGAGGGTTCTGCAACGAGGGTAATGGGGGCGGACGTGACGGTTACACAACACTGTACTACGCGACACCTGGGTACGTGCGAAAGGTTAGGAGGATGTAGAAAATTCCCAGACTGATACCACGAAGAAGCGGCATATGTGGTCTAACATGTTGCCCGGAGTGTTACGAGGAATACCGTGCTGA